AAAAAAGAAGATAGACGAATGGCCAAAAAAATATGAAAAAATGCTCAACATCACTAATTATCAGGAAAATGTAAATTAAAACCACAATGAGATACCCTTAGCCCTATCAGAATGGCCATTATCAAACAGTCAAAAAACAATACATGCTGGTGTGGATACAGAGAGAAAGGAATGCTTATACACTGTTCGTGGAACTGCAAATTAGTACAACCTCTACGGAAAACAGTATGGAAATTCTTCAAAGAAATAAATGTAGATGTACCATTCGACCCAGTAATCCCACCACTGGGGTATCTACCCAAAGGAAAAGAAGTCATTTTATCAAAAAAATACCTACACTCGAATGTTTATCGCAGCACAATTCACAATTGAAAAGATATGGAATCAACCTAAGTGCACATCATCTCATGAGTAGATTAAGAAGATGTGGTGTGTGTATACCATGGAGTACTACTTAGCCATAAAAGGGAATGAAATAATGTCTTTTGCAGCAACTTGGATGGAATTGGAGACCATTATCCTAAGTGAAGTATCTCAGCAAAGGAAAAACAAATACCACATGGACTGTTGAATGATTGGGAGATACACAATGGGCATACACAGGAACAAAGAGATGTTAAGGTCATTGGAAATCAAGAAGGAAGGAGAGTGGGAAGGGCTGAAAGTAAAAACTTACATATCAGGTACAATGATAGGTGATGGGCACACTAAAAGCTCTGACTCAAGTGTTATACAAGTAGCCATGTAACAAAAACATTTGTTGTTGATACTTTGAAACAAGAAAAAAAATTTTTAATGTATCTTGAAAGTTACCTGGCTTTGTGGACAAGGTAATAGCCAAGCCATTTAAACTCAGTTTTCTTGTTTTTGTTAAAGATTTCACCCTGAGTATCACAAAGATTTCACCCCAAGTATCAGAATAGATATTCAGGTTTGCTTTCAACAACTACATAGTTAATTCTGGATTAGGCAACCCCTGGGTAGGTCTAACAAAAAATTGCCAAAAATCTGCTCCGTCTCTCAATCAGTGAGCTAGCACAGCAGCAGGTGAAATGAACATGCTCTGAGACACCCACTTGCCAGTCAGCGGCCTTGTGTCTTTATTTATAGGTTCCCAGTTGGGGTCAAAGTGAGATGAAGTAGCTAAAAGTCTGATCTTTGGCTTAGTGGGAGTTAATCACTGGCTCTTCCTTATTTCAACTCTATATTACCCCACAGGAATTATTACTTATACACTTACAGACAAACGTAGACGCAAACATCTATGGTGCGAAAACATAAAATAGTGAAACCCCATTATTTAACGTTTTTTCTCATTATGCCACCTCTGTCAGCACAAGTATTCTAACAGACAATTTAAGTTTTTTTTTATTATTTATAGTATTATTTTTTTTCTAGAGGCAGGGTCTCGCTTTGTCACCTAGGCTAAAGTGCAGTGATGTGATCATAGTACAATACAACCTCAAATTCCTGGGTTCAAGTGATCCTCTTGCCTCAGCCTCCCAAGTACCTAGGACTACAGGCGCACGCCACAGGCCTGGCTAAATTTTATTTTTTGTAGAGGGAGGGTCTTGCTGTGTGGCCCAGGCTGATCTCGAACTCCTGGCCTCAAGCAATCCTCCCACGTCAGCCTCCCAAAGTGCTGGGATTACAGGTGTGAGCCACCACACCCAGCCGGGTACTAATATTATTCCCTTCCTGCCAAAGAGACAATTTGATAATTACTAAGTAATGGTTCTTTTTTACCAGGCAAAGTACTTTCTCCTTTAAAAAAAAAATTTAATTTAACAAAAAATGAATTGCAAACACATACTTATGGTTTAATCATTTGTCCAAAGAAACACAAAATGAAATGACCACTTTTTCAAGCTGTCAGATTTAGCAAGGCTTTGCATAGCCCGTAAGAAATATAAAGCAGAAATTTTTAACAATTCTGGCTCCAAACCTTAAGATATTTTAGCAAAACTCACAATACGTCCATCGCCGCTGCCAATATCTACCAGGGATCCTCTTCTACATCGCAACATCTTCACGACATTCTCAATCTGCTTTGTAGTTGCAGGTACAAAAGGCAAACAAACTTTTCGGAGGGCCGGTGTTACAAATGGCGTGGCTACTGCATACACAGCCACTAGAGTCCCACCAACAATCCCAGTAATTAAGAATCCCCAATTGCTTTTCTTCAAACTGTTGGCTTCGAAACTTGTGGGTAAAACATGACTTGGCTGACTTTCCTCTTTAAGCATTTCTGGGGGTGTGCCTAGAGTGAGAGCAAGCAGAAAATACACAGGTAGCACCAAATCTGAAATCCAAGATAGCAATTTTTTTCTATAATTCTTATGGACAAATAAACTCATGCTTTTTAAAGAGAGACAATTTAGCTAAATATACTCTAAACAACAAGTATAGGATCCCACGATGAGTTCTAAATTCCATTAACAAAATTACAGTGTTTTGGGGGAAATTATTCCATACTATCAGAAGACTGAAATTTTTTCTTTACAACATACTGATTTTGTGTGTCTAGGAGTCATCCTTAGAGAACGATGCTTTCAAACTTATCTAGTAATGCAGTAATTCAATATCCATTAGTACAAGTTTAAACCATGAACTCCTCATTTTTATGTTCTGAACAAACAAAGCCTCACAAACAAATAAGCATAAAAATATGTAATTATTTCCCTATTTCAAATAGGATAAAAGGATTCCACATCAAAATTGGTCTGGCATCTGTAATCCCATTGCACAAATACAATTTTAAAGTAATAGAGGAGATGAAAATCAGGTTTTGCCAAACATCTTAAACAAGTGTGATAATAAAGAGATTTTTAAAGCAGATCCAAAAGGAACAAAAAATAATAGTTTCAATACTCTCACAAGTACAGAAAAAAGCAAACAGATTCCAATCACTGATTACAGAGAAATGAATGGTACCTTAAATATCCTCCTCTTGAGCTTTATCCTTTAAAACATTTTTAAGTTTCTGAAATTGATTTGAAATTGATTTTGAAATTGATTAACAAGCACACAAGGGAGGTAAGAGCAGGACTCCTCTAGAGCTGGGAGAGATTAGGATCCCAGTTCCGCCACTTTAACTGTGTGACCCAGAATCCCTCCTCCTTGCTCACCCTCAGTTTCCTCATCTACAAAGTGAGGCTCACCGCGTTGTTGTGAGGGTGAAACGAGGGGATGCAGGTAAAGCACGTAGCACAGGGTTGCACAGAGTTAAAGATTTCCCATAACTGCTGTACAGAATTTCCACAAACTTAGTGGCTTAAAACAAAACATCTATTATCATATCAGAGCAGAGGTCAGTCTGAAATGGGCTGGCAGGGCTACGGTCCTTCTGGAGGCTCTAGGACAGGATTGGTGTCCCTGTCTCTTCCAGCTTCCTTGGTTCTTGACCACACATCACTCCACCTCTGCTCTGGCAGGACACTGCCTCACCTCACACTCCTGCCTCCTTCTTTCTTTACAGGGACATTGGACCCACCTAGATAATCCAAAATAATACTCCATCTCAAGACCCTTAACCACATCTGCACTGGTTACAGGGATTAGAGTGTGGACATCTTTGAGAGGGGCCATCATTCTGCCTGCCACCCCCGTGAACACCAAAGGCTGGCACACCGCAGTAGGTCACACTCCAGGGCAGCTGGCCAACCACCATCACCCTCCTCTCAGCATGGCTTTGTTCTTGATTCCTGAGGCCCCTTTAAGGGAGTTTTAAAACTGGTTTCATAGGGGAAAACCAACTCGGGGGGAAAAAAGTCTGCTACTGGTGCTAGCGATAAAGGTAAAATAAAATTAGAAGACGATAGCATTTGACAGAAAGCAAAAGCTTTAAATAATTTCAGTTATAATTTTGGCATTGTATGGAGGAACTTATATTGGACATATTGCAGGTTCGGCTCCAAACCACTGCAATAAACTGACTATCACAATAAAGCGAGTCACACACATTTTTTGGTTTCCTAGTGCATATAAAAGTTATGTTTACACTATACTTTGGTCTATTAAGTATGCAATAGCATTGTCTATAAAACAATGTACATATCTGAATTTAAAAATATCTTATTGCTAAAAATTCTAACAATCATCTCAACATTCAGTGAGTCGTAATCTTTTCACTGTTGCTGGGTCTTGCCTCAATGCTGATGGCTGCTGAATGATCAGGTTGGTGGCTACTGAAGGTTGGGGTGACTGTGGCAATTTCTTAAACTAAGACGATGAAATTTGCTGCATAGATTGACTCTTCCTTTCACAAAAGATTTCTCCGTAGTATGCAGCGCTGTTTCACAGCATTTTACCCACAGTAGAACTTCTTTCAAAATTGGAATCGATCCTCTCCAACCCTGTCACTGCTTCACCAACCAAGTTCATGTAATAGTCTAAATCTTTTGTTGTCTTGAAACAATGTTCACAGCATCTTCACCAGGAATAGATCTCAAGAAACCACTTTCTCTGCTCATCCATAAGAAGCAACTCCTCACACATTCAAGTTTTATCATGAGATTGCAGCATTTCAGTCACCTCTTCGGGTGCCACTTCTAATTCTCTTGCTATTTCCACCATATCCGCAGCGACTTCCTCTACTGAAGTCTTGAATCCCTCAAAGCCATCCATCAACTTCTTCCAAACTCCTCCTAATGTTGGTATTTTGACCTCCTCCCATGAATCACGAGTATTCTTAATGGCATCTAGAATAATGAATCCTTTCCAGAAGGTTTTCAATTTACTTTTCCCAGATCCATCAGAGGAATCACTATCTATGGCAGCTATAGCCTTATGAAATGTATGTCTTAAATAATAAGACTTGAAAGGTGAAATCACTCCCTTATCATAGGCTGCAGAATGAATGTTATGTTAGCAGGCATGAAAACAGCATTGATCTCCTTGTACATCTCTATCAGAGCTCTTGGGTGACTATGTGCATTATCTATGAACAGGAATATTTTGAAAGAAATCTTTTTTTCTCAGCAGTAGGTC